ATAATTGATTAGTCTCGTTATGTCTCGTTAAAATGGCTGTAAATTCCGGGAAATTTTAAGGTACCTATTTCAACCGGGATGTCTCGTCTCGTCTCGGTATCGTCCCGGAATTCCTACGGAGGGCTGAAAATTGTCCCGGTATTTATTGCGAACCGGGACAGAGCCTGTTATCTCGTCTCGTCTCGGATTAAAAAAAAATACCAAACGCAGGAGTGTAAGCTGTGCTCCCTGAAACGGAAGCAGTGAAGCCCCACTCGGCCGCCATCCCCACAACATAGCTATACACAACCGATTGGTTGTAATGAACAACACATACCTACCAGGATTAGTATCTGTACGTCACACTATCGAGAGAAAGGAAAACTGACTCGGGCTGAGCGCCACTAGTCAGCAGGCCCCAGCTTTGAATGATTTTGCGATGCCATTCGTACAATATAATTATTCATTCATTTCACGATTTCATCCGGCGGGCCGCGGGCCGGATGAAATTGTGTGGCGGGCCGGATGTGGCCCGCGGGCCATAGTTTGGAGACCCCTGCTCTAGATTATGGGCAATAAATTACTTGCCGTCAAATTTATTGCCAGACTCTGCTGCTTTATTGGATGACAATATTTGCTGGAGGCAATGAACCCGAGGGCTGTGAGGGCTTGCAAGCGCGCCCAGATGCCTTCTCAATGACTGCTGGAGGCGTCCAGAGACCACGACCCATCTCTGCACATCTCCTGCTTAAAATTCAATACAAATAGTAGGAGAAAACTGACATGATTATATAAGGAAATGTTTCCATAATATTTATAAATAATCGTGCGATATTTTATTCATGAGTTATGTCTAGAATTTGAAAAATCTAAAAATTTTAACATGGTGAGGGAAAATATTTGATTTGAAACTAGATTTTATAGAAATTTAGTCCTAATATTTTTTTATGATTCATGGGGTAATGCATGGAGGATATATTGATATATTTTTTAAGAGTACATATAAATTGTGGCACAAAGGTGGAACGTAACCCAAGTTCATATATATTGATATTTGTGAAAGTGTGGCGTTTCACTTACAAAGTGGAGGTCATATCAAAACAGTTTTAATTGATAAACATTCTTATTTATTAGAGATTTTTCTAGCAACAAAAAGCTGGAGGATTTTTGTTCCCGTCTGTTTTGAACTCATCCACTTTAATTGGAAATTTATCTGATTGGCTCTACCGTAAATGATCAAACTTTCAATAATCTGATAAATCCACAAACTGTTTTTGATCTAGGCTAAGCCTGAGCTCAAAATCCAAAATTGCTACTGAAATTCTTTCACAGACTCTGCTCGACCATTACAACTTCAAACCATTTTGAATCAATTTTTGACTACCATGAATATTCAGAATAGTTAAAATCAAAATTGGAAAGTTTCACCACAACTCACTCAGAGGACGTGTAATAATTTCGCAAAATAAATTTCAATGCGAAAAAAGTAAAAGAAAAATATTTCTTCCTACAAATGGCGTTAAGGATGTGAGATTTTTAGGGAGATCTCGTGCCAAACAAGTTTCCAATTTGTGACTATTTCACAAGCTCTTGTCCTGAACGAATGACTGCTTGCTGTATCGAATAATTTAATTGCGCTCTCAAGGCCCGCTGTGGTGTCCCTGAATCCCTCTACTGAATAGATGCGCGATAATCTTGACAAGCACTGAAGTTAGTTTCCAAAAGGCAGGTAATAAAATATTGAGCGTCAGTAAATAAATCATCAATACTGAATAGTTTGTGGAAGAAATAGATGATTTTCAGTTTTTAGCGCATTTTTTCATCTATGGAAAAAAGGCGCTATTGTGCTCGTCATGTCCGTCCGTCTGTCTGTCCGGGATTTCACGGTCGAACGGACGAGAAAATGCGCTATCTGTCACTCACTTCAGTGAGTACTGATTTAATTTTTTCCTAATCTGAACGACGAGACTTTAAATTCATTTTTTAATTAGCGTGCCTTTTGGGTTAGAATTTACACTATTAGCGAGTCCAATTTTCTCAAAGCAAATTTTAATCGATTGCTTCAAATTGCACGTCGATTGCCCGTTCAATTAGAGGAATGCGTGCGCAAAACAGTTCGCTTTTAAAGAGGGTAACTTGGGAACAAAATCAGCCGAGTTATTGCAATTAAGCTCTCAGTGGGAGCTCAGCGCAGTCCTACACGCAAAAGCTTTTAATGGACGATACGTGGCATTAATTTGACGCCGACCAACCGCTCTCTAAAATTTTTTGACAGCTGAAATACGATTGCTATGCAGAGAGATTAGGTTATTACTAAATTAAACAGATTCGCTTATGAAATGAGTACAACTCTTATAAATCGAGTTGATGTCCAACCATAATATTGATAAACATTATGCTTCTTTAAATTATTCATTAATTGTACCCTTTATTTCGAACGTGGTTCCCGTTCGTTATAGACTTAATGACGCCAAAAATCAGAGTTCATTTTAAATGACTTTTGAAATGTTAATAAATACTGTTTTTAGTGCATTTTCTCATTCATGGAAAAAAGACGCTATTGTGATCGCCATGTCCGTCCGTCTGTCTGTCTGTCTGTCCGTCCGTGACTTCACGTTTTCGTCGACGAGAAAATGCGCTTTCTGTCACTCAGTGCAGTGAGTACTGAGTTATATTTTTTCTTTCGAATGAACACGTATAATTTAGAAGGGTCATCCTGAGGTCCTGAAGGAGGAAAACGCACCGCCTGGAACAGGAATAAATTTACGGCATTTGAGGGCCCCACTGAAACATTTCCGACTCAATGGAGACACAAACGAGGCCAGAGAGAAGACGGCGATGCTCGGTGACGGTTCTCTCGGCTCCACATTAAAGATGAGATTCGGAAGCAATTCGTCGGAGGCGAGAGACCCACTGACCCTAAAAATACCATCAACAGAAATGTCCAAGATGTTTTCTTACGAAATGCACTCACGAAATGAGGGACAAGAAAAATTTCATGTTCAGGAATGGTCGTCGAAATCCGACATTAAGATGCCCAAATACCTGTGTAGATGGTTCGCTTTAATAAATTAGGTGATTTATTTAACATTCGTTTTGGAACTATTTCAACGAATAACCCTCGATTCATTAGTTATGAGTTATTAGCACCAATTATTGATATAAATGAAAAAGACTCCTGTCAAATATATTGCTGCTACAGGAAAATAGACTGGCTTTATTCCTAAAGCTCAGAAAGAAATGACGCAGAAGTTGTCGGAACAAGCAACAATTTCCTCTCGCGCCGTAAAGTCTTTCAATTTAGGACGCTCATCCATCGACGATGTGTTGCTCGGCAACTCAGGCAGTTAGGATACCTTGTAGACTGCTGTACTGTTCCTGAAAATGAGTCTGCTGAGACTGATTGGCCTAACTTGCCCCTAATGTTCTCAGGCCTGATTGATGGCCAAAAATTAACAAGTCTCACTAAGAAAACATGAGTCATCTCGGTAAGAATGTTGCGACTGATGTTCCTTCGTTAACTCGAGTCGGCAAGATTAGCGAACCTTACTCCGGAGATTATTTCCGAAATATGAACAATGCGTGATAAATAATCTTTTAACCTTATAAAACGGTCACAATAGCACGCATATAATTGATGGTAACACATTTCTAAAACCAGCAATTAATTCTTTCTAAGTATGGAGAATAGGACATTCAGTTATGGCTACAAGTTGAAGTCGATCAGAAATACGAAGCAGTCGTAGATATAACGTTCTTGATTACATAACTCCATTCTAGCCCAAACGATACAGTATCATAGCACATAACATATTCTTGAGTGCCAAACGTTTCTTGCTACCAAGAAAAGAAAGAATCGAGCGCATCCCGGAAAAATTAGGTTTGATATAACTATTCTTCAGTGGCAAAGTAACGATTGCGATCGAAATTCGAGCATTGTACGTACGATGGCTCCGTCCAAATTTGTCTCGCATTGAAACTCCTTTGTACAATACGCGGCAGAGGGTCTAAAATGGCCAGCGCGTTGAAACTGGCTAGAGAAAAGCAGCGTTAGCATCTCAGATACGAAGCCTGGATAAGTGTCCAGCACGCAGCAGCGTTAGCATCTCAGATACGAAGCCTGGATAAGTGACCAGCACGCAGCAGCGTTAGCATCTCAGATACGAAGCCTGGATAAGTGACCAGCACGCAGCAGCGTTAGCATCTCAGATACGAAGCCTAGATAAGTGACCCACACAGCAGCGTTAGCATCTCAGATACGAAGCCTGGATAAGTGACCAGCATGCAGCAGCGGACGCGTATTCAGGTTCGTCATCCGTCCGCGTGAGAAGACGAGAATCGCAAGGATTGATGCCTTTAATCCTAGTGTTGATAATCCTGATTTATTACTATGTTACAGTATTACTACACAATGTTCACTATTTTACGGAGTCGTATCAATTTAAAACAGGTCCCAATAGAAATTTCTCCATTTTCATTTTAGAGACTCCTGCATTTTATTTTTTCATTATATCCGGGCTGATTCATTCTATTTTAAATGCTATCTGGCGAGGACTTTAAGTGAACACAACGCAATTGTTTGGTTGTTTTGGTGCGTGTTAATACTCGGTGTGTTTAAATGGCCTGAACCCCAGCCTAACGGTGCTCGCGTCACGTGTCAGGAAGTCGCAGTCCACCAGCAACTATGTAGGTGAGAAAGTGTGTCAGTAATTGGACAATATGACCAGTTCATTTATCAGGGTGTGCTTGCAACCTATGCCTACCCCCGAGACCCGCCGTGAGGTGCCACAAGCTACGTGGAGGAGCGCTCGAGGACAATAGCAACACGTGCACCATCTTGGCAGCTGAAAGCTTCATGAAGCAAAAAATGTAAAATAAAAATAATGAACGATTGTTTTCTGCGAGGTCATGAAAACGGAAAATTTCATTTATCTCGTGGTTGTTTGAGAATGAAAAATGAAATAACCTCCAGAAGCGTTTAATTCACTTAAAAACAAACACGTGAAAATATTACACAGAAGCTTCCGAAGGCCGGCATCTAGCGGAATGCTCGTAGCCTACGCATTGCACGACAAAAATTAATCATTACTGTAGATCACAATAGGGACGTGAAGCCATGAGAGGAACCTGTTGAACACTCAAGTCCATGTTGATGAATTTCTAAAAAATAATCAACCTTAGTAAATCCAATGAATTGCATTTACGTCGCACAGGCCACACGCTTTAATGCCCAAATGGTAGCAACGTTTCACGCTGAGCGTACAACACAATTCTTTTTCGTCTCAATAACAAAGTAAAATTCCAATACGCCAATTCCAAAATGGAATTAATAGTTTTGAAATTCCAACATAAACAGAAATCTCTTGAAAAAGAAAAAAAAACGTAAAAAAGAAAATTTGTCCTCGAAAAATTATTATTTCCAAATAAATGTATGAATAGAATGGACCTTCGTGGCTTTGATGAAACGTAAAGATTTCTACTGAGAATGATCAGGAAATACCACAGTCAATTTGTGAACACATATTTTCTATTCATAGGAATGAGAAAATTGATCACAACATTCAAAGCTGCACCAAACATTAGCAATTATTCATCATAACCTGATAACAGGAAGTAATGTCATCGTAATCGGACAGGCAAAGTACCTCGTAATAAATCTGCTCTGAATGCCAAGTTTGCTCAGCTTGCAGTGGAACAATTTTTGATATAAGAAATTCAATCTAACCGATTCAATAACTGTAAATTTTTTAAAAATATTCAACAAACTGCAATTCATCCGGTCAAACGAATATAATTTCCCTTTTCATTTTTAAGTTAGCTCAAAATTCGCTTTCACAACACTACAAACTTACATAGTAAATAAAAAAAATTAGTCAAAGAAGGAAACATTTCAAGGGAGCACCTATTAGTTACGCTAGGTATGGCACAACACACTCGGCTTCATCGGTCGCACCTAGGCGTCATGACAACAAAATTTGTACTGAACAACTTGTCACAAAATCAATCTAGGTACTAGCAACTTTTTTTTGTAACAGTGAGACACTTGTATTAATGAGACACTTGTATTGTAACAAAGAACAGTGAAGCCTTATTTACTTATTGCCGGTCAGAAATAGACCATTAATTATTACGTGCATTTAGTCATTTCATCAGATTTCATCCTCAACACGTTTCACTTCAATTTAACATAATGTATAAAATACTTTCTCTAAAGACAATAACCTAACAAACAGCCATAATTGGTATAATTTATGAGATGAAGGAACTACGAGATGAATTATAATTATGAAGGGCCGAGACTGACGGCAGCAGAAGACGTGCCTTCAAGCACCTGTCTGCCCGCCACGTACACGCGCTGGATGTTGCGGTCATCGCCGTTGAAAACAAACTTGTCAACTTTCATCTCCATCGTGTCCTGTAAACATTAAATTCAATATTTCAATTTTGAATTAGGAATTTATATTCCAAGCTAAACATTATAGGCACTTATTTTCTTCGCCATGGTCCTCTGCAAGCTTAAAGTTTTAAATAAATTTTATTTTAATAATTCTTGCCTTTAAAAAGGTGTGAGACACTGAAATCAATCTCTTATTGTTCAACTTATTTGGGCACAATTTCAATCAATCGAAATGAATTTATTTATTCCTAGACCAAAGTGAAGAAGCAGGACCTACTTGTGCAAAAATATCGATCGCCGACCCTGGAGCTTGAACATCTATGAGCAGCGCGTCGAAATCTTTGTCGATCTCGAAGTTTCCAATCTTGTCATCCATGTTCAGTGCTGTGAACACAAGAAATGTGTAAACGAAAAGAACTTGTTTCTACAGACTGAGTTAGACAATTTGCAGTGAAATTAATCCTTCTACTTCAGAATGTGATTAGCCTTTACTACCTGTGGTCCAGAGAAGACGTACACGGACTTTCCTCGATATTTACAGATCTACACAGCCTCCGTTCACAATGATCTTTAACACAACTGATTTCAAAGCATAACAGCTTCAAGAAAATTGTGTACATACTATTATGCATAGCCATTCGATACTGGAAGCGATAAATTCGTATAATAGGACATATATACCGTACAGTACACGTTTTAGATACATGATCGCAAAATTCACTAGGAATGTGATTCTAGAATTAGGTATATAATTTAGCAACATTTTTAAAACGTTATTACAACTATATTACTGGTTTACGTCAACATCCAAATAATTGTTTCGCATCCATACTGAGATGAAAAAGAAATGGCACCCAATCAAGTGAATTCCGTTTTCTTTACTTCAAATCCGGTATAACTGAAACATTCCATGAATATTTGAACAGGAAAAAAATAACCTCTAGCGCCACCAAGCGTGGCCATCTTGAAGGCCTCCTTGTGAGTGACAGGGCAGTAGTCGCTGCCGCGGTCCAGGGACAGCGCGTTGCTGACGTGCACACAGCGCCTCACAGCGTCCAGTATCATGGGGGAGTATCCTCCACTGCAGTCTGGGAGCGACACCAAGCTCAGTACATTGAATAGAGTACATGTAACATGGGGGAGTATCCTCCGCTGCAGTCTGGGGGCGACACCAAGCTCAGTACATTGAATAGAGTACATGTAACATGGGGGAGTATCCTCCACTGCAGTCTGACGATACAAAGCAGTTCTCAGTACATGAAATAAAATACATATAAAAAGTTCCTACAAACGGATCATTAATGGAAAGGGACACAATTTCAACGGCAATAAAATGTCCAGGGAATATACCAGGCCATGCAGGATTAGAGTTCCAGGTTTATAATTCAATAAAGCATTATTATTCAGTAATACTCCTCTGACCAGTTCCAAGTCCGACTTTGATGCCAGCGTTGAGGAGAGCGCGCACGTCACAGAGGCCCGAGCAGAGGGACAGGTTGCTGTTGGGGCAGTGAGCGACGCCCGTGCCCCGCTCTGCTAAGATGCCCACCTCCTCAGCACTCACCCAGATGCTGTGCGCCACCACGGTCTGCACGTGACACCAAATATTAGCTTGATGTGCACAAATATGTTTAAAAAAGATTTTAAAACAAATATGAGATGAATCAGCAGAAAATGTGGTAGGTACACTTACTGATGATTTGTTTGGATTTTGTGGCCAAAACATTATACCGTGCAATATTTCAATACTGTGCAATATTCAATACAATTAAATCCAAATAAAATTCAATTACAATTCAAATATAATACGCAGCACGATTAACATTTTCTATGAAAATTAGAACAACTGGAAAAAAATATGGGTACAACAGAGTTAAAATCGTAGCGACTTTTTTTCTTTAATAAAAACTTGTTAGCAAGTACAAAGACAATAATAGTCAGCTCGCTTGATAATTTTCATACTAAGTATAATAATGTTTTATTCCTAGCTCATAGTCCATAATAAAATGACTTTGGAATCAATATTGTAACTGAGAGTAATAAGAATGACCTTCTCGCCGAGCAGACGCATGCTGTCATAGACCTGCGTGTAGGACTTGGCCCAAGGGAAGAGCTCCATGACCCAGTTACCCTCAGGCTTGGTCTCGCAGAGGTGGGTCTGGATGTGGCAATCGAACTTGGCAGCGAGCTGCGCCAGCGCCGCCAGCTGCTCCTCGGGACACGTGGGCGCGAACCGCGGCGTCACGGCCGGCATCACCAGCGACGACTGCGTCGTGACGGCAACAGAAAATAACGTGAATATTTACCTCAAATAAACTACTGTGAAGTAAAATTAAGGCCGGCATCACCAGCGGCAATAATAACTTAACCCCACAACTGAGACCTACAGTCAGACACCGCGAGCTCAGCGGTGGGGCGCTCAGGAACAATCCCCCTAGGAACGCGAAATCCCATAGGACTTCTGACGAGCACAGACACACGTCAGAAGTCCCTCCTGAGGGGATAGGTATCGTGAATATTTTCCTCAAATAAACTATTGTAAACTAAAATTCATCTCTTTTTCTTGGCATTGAGGAAACTGTTAAAATATGGGAACGGAATGGACATCTGATTGGCGTAGGAATAAACTTAGATAACATTCAATATTATCCGATTTAATTTTGTATTGAAGATAGTATTGAAATTTGGGAGCGAAATATGTTTCATACTCTGCATGAAAACAACTAGGGGGGCCACAATACATTTGATAGTATTGAAATTTGGGAGCGAAATACCTTTCATACACTGCATGAAAGTGCCTCATGCTCTTTACCTGCAAGTTACGGACGTGTTTGATGAACTCTTCAGTCTCGGCGAGCGAGGACTGAAGCGAGGTCTCCCTGTAGTACTCGGGGCAGTTGCGCAGCATGTTTACTTTACCTTGAACAAAATCAGCAATAATGATCATTCAATTCATCAACTAGAACTTGACTGGATTACATCAATTCATGTAAATGATAAATTGAATACAATCATCATATTATGACTTGGATCAGTTGACTCATAACGTGGTCTAGTTTTGAACTTTGATGCAATAAGAAACTTAAACAAGAGAGCATTTAATAATCCTTACACAGATCTTGAAACAGTGCATCTTTTCATTCATAAAATTGAACAATGGATCAGAAATTAAAATCAAGGCTGGGATAATTTCCAAGATAATTTCAAACACCAAATAAACGAATCAAATATCTCACCAACAAGAGCACGTTGCCCTCGACTGTGAACGATATCGGCTAAAATCTTGGTGGCTTCGAGGTGTATTGAGGCGTAGTAAGCGACCGTGGTGGTGCCGTTCCGCAGCAGACGATCCTGCGGGCACGAGGAGAGTTGTGATGTTAGGTGTGGTTAGATATGCATGAGCATCTAGCACACATGGTGTACATGAGCATCAACAATGTAAACCAATCGGCATATGGGTAAATTTCAAAACGGAAGTATATCAAAGATCATTGTGTCACTCAAGCGAACGGAAAGAGAACAATATTATAGGAAACCACGACTGTGGCCGAAGGTTAAGTTCATATCACAAGCGGAATCATAAGGACTAACCACGACTCTGCTGTAGACGTTCCTGGCAAATGCGGTGTCTGAAAAGTTCGCCTCAGTAGGGAAAGTGTAGGTCTGGAGCCACTCTAGGAGCGGCAGGTCTAGAGCTAGACCGTTGTTAGGAAACTGCGGCGCGTGCATGTGAGTGTCTACGAACCCCGGCATCAAGAATTGACTGAAATGCAGGAGAACTCTTAAGATATTAGTCGCGTGGTTTATTAGATACCTACCTGTATAATTTATAGGACTGGTACTAATACATTTATTTCCGCAACTACAAAACGTAACTGTATTGACCACAATTATTTTTTGAAGCTTGGTTTAACAATTCAGAGGCGTAACAGTACACTTGAGCGTTTGAAATTGAATTGGGGTCTACGTGAGTATGATACAAGACATCTTCAGATACTTCAATTAACAGAGAATAATAAGAGATGATTGCTACAAATATTAATGAATTTAATAATAAAGTTGCCTCAACGTGTATAGACATGGAAATATTCAAACGAATAAAATTTAATCTTAGCGACACTAAATAAACGAGTTCTTGACTGAACTTTATACAGAGGCGCTGGTCTGCTCAAGTTTCCACAGCAGTTAACTCCCTAAGCGAATCACATTAGTGGAATAATCAGGAGTGAGGCACATACTTGTATAATTGACTGATGTGTGGACGTACTTGCTGTTGAGGAAGAGAATGTTGCCCTCCGTGAAGCCATACTCGGCCTTCAACTGCTCCAGCTCTTCCACGTTCTCCATGAATTCGATCTGGAAACAAGAAACGGAATATAAACAAAACCAAGATTTTACCATCAATAAAAATATTTAATTTTATTGTTGAGTTTAGAAAACTACCAAATAAGATTCCTCAAAAGTAACATACAAAATAAAACTGGACATTCAAAATGCTCGGCGGAACTGCGAACACATACCAGACGTTTTTGTCATAAATGTTCTTGCGAAGCACCGAGTTGCGCGCTGTAATTTATTGTAAGAATATATGCTTGCAGTTTGAAAGAAAACATAAGAATTGCAGCCATTATGAAGAGTGAGTTGCATCACATAATACTTCATTACAACTTACACGTGGTTTGACGTAACAAAACATTCACGGAGTCTAACAGCAACGGTTTTATTAACAAAATACGGTTACTAGATTTCTGCTGGCCTCCCGCTCAATTACCAAGGTACTCTCCTATAGTAACAATATTTCAGAGACCTTAATAAATAAACAATAAATAAACAACAGAGACCTTTTATTGAAAATTTTAGCTGTTATTCACAAATGAAGGGAAAGGTTGAACACTGAGGGCTAGCAGTTACAACCTTGCCGTTGATGACGCCGAGCACGGAGTTGTGCAGCACCAGCAGCGGGTCGGCGTCCGTAGAGTGCACCAGCGTGCCTACGAACACCTCCATGTCGGGACGGGCTTTCTGTCGTGAAGATTAAAGACTAGTGTCAATAGAAAATTATAAACGAAAGGATGAAGAAAACATGCGATAACTCCGTATAATAAGATAAGATATAAGGAACAGATCCAAATTGATACATACTATATTTCGTATCTATTATTCAACACATGAAGATTACACCAACCATTTTATTTTGGCAGTTCTCCATGATGCGATAGATGGTACTTTTGCTGATATTCGGCACTTCAGGATTAAGAAGCAAGAATTTACTACGAGTTTCTTCAATGGTCATATCCTCCTTCTCGGAGAGAATGTCCATTATCCGCTGCTCGTGGACATCGGAAAGTTTTTTCTTCCTGCCCGTGGATGTCTTTCTTTGGATGCGATGTTCCTTACGAAAAACTTGCACTACCGACGATACTGTCGACTTGGCCAAGTGCATAAAATCTGCGACTTCTCTTATGGTGCGTTGCTCGTTGAAGAACAAACTGAAATGCGGAGAAAAATATGACTAGCTAAATACTCAGAAGCTTAAGCCTTCAAAGGAAAAAATATATAACTCAGTACTCACTGCAGTGAGTGACAGAGAGCGCATTTTTTCGTCGACGAAAACGTGAAGTCACGGACGGACGGACGGACAGACAGACGGACGGTCATGACGAGCACAATAGTGCATTTTTTCCATAAATGAAAAAATGCGCTAAAAATATCTCTTAAATAGTTTAAGGTTTAACCATTTAAAGCACCCAAACTTATAAGCACGTTCTTGCGTCCAAGTATTCGCAAATCGTTTAAAAAAATATAAAAAATGAGAAGACGTTGATGATGAGTTCATGATCAGACCAAATTCAAGTCATATTCTGCATGCCTAAATACAAATTTTTTCGATGTTCAAACTAAAATCTAATTCGTCTATTCACCATTTTCAAGTAATAAGGATATTGTGCCGTAATACTAGCGTTTTGGTGAATCAAGCATCCTTGCTTTACCAACCGCCGGCAAGTTCACAAATATTCTTAGCAAATAAGTGCCTCCATTAGTATGTATAAGTCAGCAGCTGCTCATGCTCATAATAATAATGCTAATAATGCTCAACTAATTACCTAACCCAATAATAGAGCAACTATGGCACCACTGAACTGGTTAAGGGCAGAAGATACTAAACTTAAATGCATACCAGAGTGAACACAAACATCAGCCACAGCCACGCCATAAACGCATAACATGAGCATTATATAGAGATATCACCATTAGAGGTGACACGAGTAGTGGTAGCATGAGCAGTGGTAGAAGTTGTGGTAGCACGCGAGAGCACAATTAGTGGTGGCACAAGTATATATGCATAAATGGAGCTGGAACAATTAGTGGTAGTGAAAGTAGTGGTACCAGTGAAAGTAGTGGTACCAGTGCAAGATAGTGATATAACGAGTAGTGGTATATATCACTAGCTAGTATCACAAGTAGTGTTATCACTAGCAAGTAGTGTTAGCAAATCAAAGTAATTACTAAAACATGAATATTTTATTGAAAAATTAAGTGGCCAATGCAGTAAGTACAGGATAAAACTAGGGCATTTTTAAGCCTACTGTCACCGGACGATCACCGCTACACTACAGCCCGTCAGAAGGCGCGAGCTCAATGGCCGAACGTCGGCAGCTATATTTTGATCAAAAGATACTTCTATAAAAAGAGTTTATAATTACCACATAAGCTTCTATTGCGTTTGGTTACTCTTCATTAAAATTTGAATTCACATGGACGAAACGTAGTTTTTATTTCACAAAAATCACCAGATGAAGAAAACGTTAATAAGATAAATGTTACGATTTATTATAGTATCAATGAAAGTTTCAAGGTGCAGCTACTTAATCCACCACTGGGGGCGGAAGATCACTGCGAACTAGTGAGGGGAGTCAGCTTAGGTAGAGCCTCACTGTAGGACTGACTAGGACATGACTGACTCTCTGACGCCTAATGAATTCAATTAATGAATACTGGTAATAAAATAACTGATAATAGTGAAAGATCTGTCGTTCACAATTTGATCACAGATCAATCGTCCATATGATACGTTGAACGCAAAATACACCTTCAAATATATTACAAACACTGATACATAGATATGAAGATGTTTGCAACGCAGGTCAAATATCTAGCTCTCAACTCCCCACGATTGTGACTGTGCTACACTGAATTTTACTGTCTCGGTTTAAACGACAAAACTGCGGAACTTGGCCTCAATTATCAACTCGCTTGATCATAGTCTTTCTTTTCAACATATAAAACGAAACTACAGAAAAGTATAATCCTTTACAAATCCCAACCAAATTTTCAACTGAAAATAAACTAAAAAACTGCAGTTCAATATGAGAAATAGAGTTAATCTGAAGAGCGAGGAGCCCACAAAATTGATCACCAGCCCAAGTAAGCTCTGCTCGGACAGTGCAGGAACGCAGCTGTCGCAACATCCCGCCTCCTGCTCAGGGCCGACGGGTTTTTTCTCACGCGCGACCTTGTGCTTGTCTGGCGTGCGCTTATCGAATGCTACTCCTTGTGGTGGAGTTCACACGCACTTCAGTGTATATCATTGTGACGTACATACAAACGAGGCCTTCAATGTTGCAGGTGTACATGTGAGGTTTAACTTGCGTAATAAATTTGCAGAATACTTACGATGATTAGGCGAGAAAATTGAAATTTCGATATATAAAAAATAATCGTACACGAGAATGATGTAGAAGCGTGACGTTATAGCACTAAAGCTTGAAACTGCGATATTTTCAGCACGACCACGTGCGTGCATAAAAACTCCAATGCGGCGCAAATGGCAACTTCCTTGCACTTCCATTTGCAATGTCGTATGAATGCAGGCCAGACTTGTATTATTGAAAGAGAATTAGCTCGGTTCTCACAAAACTATTTTACGTAAGAATAGATAATAGAGAAGGAACATGCAATAAGCATACGCAGCATACAATAAAGGAGCGCATGCTGGGAGACAAACTTTACACCAGGACATGACTTTTATCATTATTATTGGCGAATAAAAGTAATTAATCATTAATTAACATTAATATATTCGTTTCCGTTAAATATTCGTGGAAAGAAGCTAGTAATAATGCCCAAGAATATGTCCGACAATGCCACGGCGAATTTAATTAATAAATTAAAATGGCAAATCACAAAAGTAGACATAATTACGCCAAATAAAAAACAAACTGCCAACAATTATTCAGAAGTACTAACCTGATGATCATTTCACGCTCTGCAATGGACAGCGAACGCCTCTGTCTGGTGGCCTCCTTGCCTGCCAGCGGCATGGGGTCTTCCAAAATCCCCACAGTTGCCTCTATCAGCTCCTGAGCCTCGACGCCGTTAGAGGCTGTGCTGCTCAGGATGACTTCGCTGCCGCCGTTCGCGGTGCTGGCGCCGTTACAGAGGCCGCCCGGCAGCGTAAGAGTTGCTGTATTCAGCGCCGCGCCCGCGCTGTCGTCGCTAGTACCGTCATTGGCCTGGTGGAGGAATCGGGACGAAACTTAAACGCCATGGATCGCAATCCCATCAACTCGTAGGATTTGCTTAGTTCTTTTCTGAAAGCTTGTTATGTAGACCTCAACACATAGGTTTCCGAAATTTGCTAGCGTTAATTATCAATTGATTAAAGAAATACTCCATGTAAGCTTTTAGCCATTCAAGCTGTAGCTGGATTGGACGAGAGAAGGAAATGTGGTAGAGCAGCAAGACGACACATGGCGTATAGATTGACAAGAAAATCAACACATTCCGCCTCTCAAAAATCATTGAAGCAAACAGAGAGAAAGACGGGAATAAGTAGACACTTTAATGAATGAGCGGTTCAATCGAAAGAAATGAATTTTCTGCACAGGAAAGTCTCAGATCAAAATCATATCAGTACTTCATATATCAATGACACAGCATTTTTCAGTAAACCCAATTTTTCGAAACGACCATGAACGCATAGAATCACTATGAATAATTTTTTTTACCACTGTTGATCTTGAATTTCTACGCTTATTCTGAGTATCGACGAATCATGCGTACAAATATGCGTGAATGACAATCCAGAAACCTGTTGATGCAAACGTCTTCCACTACACAATTAATGAGCTTTGCTTCAACACGAAAAGTAATCAGGCGGGACGTTTTCATATCGCAACAACTGATTATATAACTAACCTTGAACATTCACTTCTCTTGTTGACTCTGAGTCCATTTGAAGAAATTTATTATTCCGATTGAAACACCTGTGGCCTGCCAGATTGAACACTTGTAACGTCCAGACGCAATCGATGTTTGTCAGCACAAAGCGCCTTTGTTCGGGAGAACATAAAGACGGGAAACTTAAGTACTAGTCGAAATCTCTATCAACCTAGAGGTAGTAACGATGTCTTTTTTATTATTTATACCAGGGATTCGTTTGTTGGAATTGAATAATGTTTAAGTAGCCTTCGGCATAAATTTGATATTTGCAACTATAATAAAAAATGAATAAATTGGGTATAACCTTTAATTGGGTATGATGTCTAAGTAGCCTTGATTTAAATGCTGATCATAAATACAGTTATAGAGATTAATTTCTGCAACAAAAAGCAAAGAAGCCAAGGGCGTTAGTTACAACAACGGAGTTGGGATAGCTACCGCAGAATTTTTATGACTTCTTCTTTTCAATTACAATTTTTCTTATGATAACTTCCTGTCCGTATAGCGAGATCAAATCAACGACACTTCCATTAACTTTTTCTTTATTTATAAATTCTTCTGATGAATGAAATTTCCAAAGAATTAACTTCAAATTACACACGATAATAATTATTTGCTAGGTTTTAAACGCAGCACACGATATTCCATCTAATTGCTGAATTCAATGACAAGTATTTCGAGTACAATCAGTCACTGTAGCCACACATCTCACTTATAAGAGCCTGAGGCTCTAATGGACCACACATCTCACTTATAAGAGCCTGAGGCTCTAATGGACCACACATCTCACTCATAAGAGCCTGAGGCACTAATGGACCACACATCTCACTCATAAGAGCCAGGAGCCATACTTTCAAAACTCGCTAACTTAACGTAGGTAAGTACTTACGCTCTATTCTCTTATCTATGATTGGTGGATTTTGCTGGAAAGGCCGTCAATAATTGGCTTATGAACTTCCGATCTCTTAATTTTTTTTAAAGTATAGGCCCCGGGTCGTCTGTGATCCTCGTCAGGACTCTTGTCCGCGAATGACGATATTGCCAAAAAATAACATAGCCAAAATCACCACCGCTTGTTTTGCAGTTCTGCGACAAATACGTAGCGTCAGCCGCTGTCTCTCGAGGCCCTCGTGGACACTCTATGGGCTTCCGACCACGGCACTTACTGAATCGCAATCCGTGATGAGCGCTGCTGCGTGACTCGTGCGCAATAAGCGAAAATTCGACCATGTGACACCAATATTGCGCAATCTTCAATAGCTGTGTGTGCAGCAACGTACGCACTTCAAGGTCGCTGTTCCGACGTTCTGATGACTCCACGGTCTCTCGCCTCCTTATCTCACGGAATGCCTGCAGCGCGTGTCGGATCTGCCTTCTAAAAGACGAATGCGTTCGTCATCTACCGTCGGCTACAGAGCATCCTCGTTCACCGCTGCCATAACCAAAAACAGTCTGATGGCTTCCGTAACATCGGCTCCTTCAATCAATAATGATTATATTGATGAGTGGGTAAGTTCCAAGTCGATGTCGGCGATGTGGATGAAGAAGAGGATCTGACCAAACACCGAACAGTGCGGCACTCCGTTTTTCTCGATTTCGAGTTTCCAATTGTAATAGCCTGTACTCCTTCCGTAAGGAAGTATGCATGCTAACAGGCTTCTTCCTACCTCCAGTCGCCTTAGATTTTTGATGAGCACACCATGATCAACTTTGTCAAAAGCTTTCGTAAAGACCACGGATGCACGTCAATGCCAGCTCCCTCCTCCAGAACTACAAGACGGTGGTGGTGCTCCAATAACTGTGACAAATAGGAGCGATTTCGTCGAAAACCGTACTGTACAGTTCCGCATCTTCTATACCTATATTGAACTATATTGAACAAGCTTTCTGGCCGCTACTTTCTCAAACATCTCGATAACCTGTGAGGCCAAGGTTAGGTTAGGTCTGTTGCCTTTGGTGAATTGTCGTTATCAGTCCCACTTAAAGGCCCACAGGAATAATTCCCTCCATCAACGTGGCCTTCCAGAGCACTGTGAGGAGAGCTATAAGTGTTCCAACGCACTTCTTCAGCAGCATTGCCGGAACTCCTCGGCAGCTTGTTCCACCGTCTTCTGCGAATCCAGTAACCTGCGTTGTTTTCTTGAAGAGCCCTACGAGTCTCTGTCTCCTCAGATCACCAGTGGATTGCGCGCGTTTTCTCATGTGGATTCGTCGGTCTCACGGCACGCTGTGAACTTCAGGGCCCGTACTTCTCGGGGTTAAGACGTATACAAACCTGCACTAGTTTCTAGCAAAGTTTTGTGTAAATTTCAGCAGCATTTCATTCACAAAACTTCGACCTCAAATTGACTTCGGCGATTTCGTTTTTAACTTCCTTCCACTCCGTTCTTCGATGGTGGAAGTTGAGTCCAGCCAGTTCCTCTTAGGGTATAGTCCTGGGCTGACTCTTGGACACAATACCCCAAGAGTCCATGGGCTGACTTTTGGGGTATAGTCCTGGGCTGACTCTTGGGGTAAAGTCCTGGGCTGACTCTTGGGGTATAGTCCTGGGCTGACTCTTGGGGTATAGTCCTGGGCTATGGGCTGACTCTTGGGGTATACGTAGTCCTGGGCTGACTCTTGGAGTATAGTCCTGGGCTGACTCTTGGGGTATAGTCCATGGGCTGACTCTTGGGGTATAGTCCTGGGCTGATTTCAATTCCAACTGTCAGATCCACCATCACAACGGCCAACAACACATCTCACCCATTCGAGCTTGAGGAACTAACGGACCACATACGTACCTCACGCATTCGAGCCTGAGGCACTATTGGACCACACATTTCACACTAATGGGCCACACATCTCACACTAATGAACCACACATCTCACACTAATGGACCACAAATCTTACCTTGGTCTTGATCTTCTTCTTGGGCGCGAGGTATCGGTCGATGGGCTCAAGGAAGCGATTGGTTGGAGCCTTCATGCCAATAAGCCCCTTCTGTTAGTGGTAAAATACAACATCAACTTTCAAGAATTTTGCCACTGCAGCAAATTTTTTTCAAGTCAAAAAACTTGGACTGTGTAGGTACATCACATTTGACTTTGAGGAAGGTCTCTTCACACCACCATCAACAATGGCAAAAATTGTACCTTTAGTAATCATGCCTGAAACTTTTGCCCAAGAATGCCAGATTCACATACATGACGTCATTGAAGAAGATTCTTGCTAATTGTAAATCAAGTAATGGCAGCAAAATCAACAGATTATTGCAACAGAATTAAAATTCTTTGAACTGTACGTCATAAAAGTAAAAACTAAATGAAATTTTGACTTCGAAGTTAGAACGAAGGAGAAGTTGAAAATCTCTTACCTTTCCTCTCTCCAGTGTCCTGTAGATCGTGGTTTTGGAAATGTGTTCAAAATGAGGATGCATTTGAAGGAAACGGCTGCGAATTTCGTCCACCGACACATTATCGCGTTCCTGAGATACAAAATTCGATTCAAAAGGTATCATGGGGCATATTATGATTAACTTTTTAATGAGGGATCGAATAAACGATCCCTATTTAACAATACATCGTGAGTCACCGAACCCATAGTAGTCTTCTCACAGATATTACGCACCCTTCAGAGAAATAGGTGCTTGTAAACAACTTCAAGATTACAATTTTCAATGTGTTATTAATTAATTTGCATCAAAAATCAAATAGCTTCCATTATATGAATTTCTCGTCTCAAGTCACTTAATAATATGAAAAATACAATTCCTTATTTCGCCAGCACATCTATCATTTCATAACTATGAACTTTAGAAGAGAAGAACCACACGGCAATATGATGATCACCTGGGACATTTCAAAGAGCTGGTATTCCTGCTGTGTGGTTAGCCTTCGCTTGCGTCCTGTGGCGGTTTTCTTGTGTATCCTTCGTTCCTTTTTGAAGACTTGCACCACAGACATGACCGTGGACTGAGGCAGTCCCATGTAACGCGCCACCTCGCGGGACGTTTTCTTCTCATTAAAAACTAAATCTATGATCATCTCGCGGTGTGATGCTGACAGACGTCGGCGTTGAGCGACCTGTATAAACAACACATGCACATGTAATTAATGAAACTCATGTAAAAAATTCGTCACAATTGAAAAAAATGGCCTGAAGATGGTTTTCTCATAAGCTAACAACTTTGCATTCCATCCATCAATATCTGGCGTTATAATTACCCCAGGGAAAAATTCGGTAGCATGTAAGAAGTTTTATTGTTCAAGTTTTATCGTTCAAGTTTTTTATCGTTCAAGTTTTATCATTCAATGGGTATCACATTCAGGTCTCCAACCAGAGCAGGATGTTTTGACCATATCCCACCTTTACATTTTTGCTGTCGTTTTTAGTTTTCTTCTTAACAGCAGGAGCAGGAGTAGCAGAAGGTGAAGCAATGCTTGAAGGCACAACAGTGGCAGTGAAGAGAATTGACTGCTCTCCTAAGATCTCAGTCTTATTTACAATGGGGAAAAATTTGTGATCGACTGCTTGTGTTTCCGGACCGCTTGGCTGCTGCTGTTGAGGCTGAATGTGTCTCTGTTGATCATGCTGTTGGGCTTGCTGTTGCTGTTGTTGTTGTTGGGTAGTGTGATGAAGTTGAATATGCGTTTGCTGTTGCTGTTGTTGTTGCTGGTGCTGCTGTTGTTGTTGTTGAGGTTGTTGAAGATGTTGTTGCTGCTGATGATGTAGATGTTGATGGTGGTGATGTTGGGCAGGCTGGTGGCGTAGATGAAGGTGTTCATCGGGTAATCTTACATGTATTTGTTGTGTATGATGCCCTACTGAGAGCAGGGAATCTTTGGAGTCCACTACAGTGACCAGGGTCTGGCCAGAGATGGCACCTGCATGGCCATCAGAGATATCTGCCTCTGTCACGAGTGTAGTTGCAGAGGCTAGTGAAGACCCTGTGAGCCCTGATGCAGCACCAAATTCATCGTGAGGTACAGCATTGGCCATGGTAGTGAGGTCGCTCTGTTGGATACTGGTTGAAGCAGAAACCAAACCAGCGCTGAGAGCCACAAGATCGGAGCCTGTCACCGGGTTGGCCACGGGGTTGCCCACAATGGGTGTGGCTGGTGAGCCTGGCCCAGCCATCCAGAATGCAGTGAATGACTGCGAGGTAGACACTGATTCATCTCCTCCAGACATCTGTAATATAATAGATTGATTAGAAAAAACTGTTTTGAAGGTGAAAAAATCTTCTAGAGGATTCAAAAATTATAATTCTCATAACAATTATCATTTAATCTATGATTGTTTAAAACATTTGTTGAATTAAACAAATTGTACATACCAATATCAAATAAAATGCTTGATGGTTACGGTATGAGGCCTTTGATTGAACTAAGAGGTTTAAAATAACAGAAATTCAAGCATAATTATAGATTGAGGTTTTAATGTCCCCTCCAGTAAACATGGTCATTATTTAAATTAATAACGAGGCATGTGATAGCCTCATTATTAATCAAGATAGCTGTATATTTGTAGCTGTATATTTGCCTGTATAGAATTTGGAAATCCTTAGCGGACTTCAAATACCAATGACCTGGCAGTGAGTGTGAGTGCAGTCTGCACAGTGGTAAAGGAGAGAAATGTTTATTTACCATCCCAATGAATGGGTAGGCCCCCAGTTTTAATGTCCATAGGATGTTAAATGAAATTTGAGCTAGATATAGCAATTAGCTATAAATGAACTGAGTCTAAAAAATTCCTCATTTGCCAGTTGCCACTATGTGACCATAATAATTAGAGTTTAAAATGGCCAAATCATTCATATAAATACAGAGCATTGCACAAAATGATTGCACAATGAACAATTTTTTGTGCATATCATGGCTCAGGTCACAATGTGTGAGGCTAGAATTAATATTACCAGTCTAGTGCCAATGTGCCATGGCACTAGACAGACTACCTAGTACTAGTACGGTAGTACCTACTAAGCACAGGGCATGGCTTTCAATGTTCAGATATCATCATATTTTCAGGTGACTTACTGATAGTGACTGGCATCTTTGCAAAATTTATTATGCATCACAATCTTGAATTGCAATTGGAAACCACTATTGGTTCCAACTTCCATGTTGATGGTAAATAACTGCCATGCAATTCAATCCTAATATGCTGGCTTTGCATTGAGTTCCTAATCATATGATGTGGCTGGCAGTCTGGCACTAAATTTTGTGTCATCTACATTATATAGGTACCACATCTTTTGCAGTCATAAATTTTGAAGTAAACTTATAGTTCATGCATAGTGGCAGAGCAGAGAGTTTTTTAGACTCTTCCTCAAGTTCATTTTTGAGTCATATAAGTAGACCAGTAAAGTATCTTGGATACCAGAATTATCATACATAAGAAATCTGTTGAAATCTTGAGTAAATGAGGAAGTTAAAAATGAACTGATTCTAAAAACTCACTGGTTTGCCACTATGAGTTCATGACGGAGATATTAACTGCTAATAAATTAATGCACTTCCTCAATTGTGACATCAACATTGCACTTTTTGCCACACTTCACAGACTCACAGTAAGTAAGGAAGTGTATGTAAGTGGGGTCTTGAGGAATGGAGGGTTGAGAAAGAGGACTCAGACTCAGAGGAGGGTGGGAAGACGTGTGAACGTGCCGAATTGTTTTAGTACGTGGTTTTAATTTTTTGCGATTGTCAAATTTTTATATTTTTTCTTAGGACAGCTGTGAATATGGTATATTTGAACTTTTTTGTTAACATAAGAGTGTGAACTTTTAATTTTTTGATGCTAGTAAAAGTTTTTTAGGCAGCGTGTATGACCGATTTAAAGGTCGTGACCGTAGGTCACCAGGCACCCCAATTCCAATTCCATGTAAATAAGCTTTAATGTTTAAAGTTCAATTAGGCTCATCATAGGCCTACATGCTTGTAAGTTGTAAGACAATGATTTTCAGCCTAACATAACAATTGAAATAGCCTCAATTCTCATGTAAATGAAATGTTTGAAAAACAAACTATTGAAATGCAAAAATAAAGTTTGCCTCAAAGCTTGATTGCTTGAACATTATTATACATAAAACATTCAAAGTTTCAAACAGCTAATAGGTACAAACAATTCTAGATTTGATATTTTTCTGTATTTTTATTTATAAAGAGTTGTACTATTACTACTTTTCAACTAGAAAAATGAAAAATTTTACATTCTAGGTAATCTGTAAAATCATTCTAATACCTAACAAAATAAACAAATAAGAAGCCTAGAAGGTCAGAACAAATTTGTCTGTAACTGTGTAAAGTGTAAAGATTTTAGATACAGTTCATATTTAGTTTCTGCTGAAGCTTAGTCCCCATCGGCATCGTATAATTTTTTTCGCTGCAAAAGCAAAAGTGCCTGAGCAAGTTAGCAACCAATTTCATAGCATGCTGAGATTGTAGCCTAAGCAGCCGATGTTCCCATTTATCAAAGAATTTCCATCATCACTCATCCGTTCATCGTAAAGACTTAAACATGATTTTATACAAGATTATGTGAAAAAAACCTTAAGCAGTTTCAAAATCGTATCTGTAGTGATTTACTCTATGGACCCCATTCAATTTCCCGTGATTAACTTGTCAAAAAATCTACCAACATTAAAACAAAACAATATTCCAACGGCAACAGACAAGCCATGCTCTATTGTGATCGAAGAACTAACAAACGTTTGTTGAAGAACAAAATAGAGAGAGAATGGAACGATATTTACTGAAACGTTCAGCTAACGTTTCATATTGAACTCGACAACATAACTATCTAAGGAGAAAATGTTCAAGTCAACAGTGATCATTTCGGAAAGATCGAAACAAAGAGAAATTATCTTACCTTTTTCTTATATATATCGATAAATTGTACTCCAATTGAGTCACCAATTATATTCAGTCAATCTTTAAGCATTTAAATAAATAAAACTGGTGTTTTGAACCTTTCTAGTGAACTACAAATCACATTTATTTGCTGAACGATGCAATGCACTTCACTCGGTAGCCATATTGGATCGACCAGACGCTGCTGTGTGAAACGCGGCACGAAAACAGATGAAATTCGGACAATTCAATTTTTTGTGCCGTTTTTGAATCTTGATATCATGGATGTTGAAAAAAATTATGTCCTCACAAATTGTTTTCCTAAAATAAATTGCATGTATTCCGTAGATGTTCTCTAATTTTTGTTTAGAAAATAGTTCAACGAGGCACTACGGTATTTCAATTCATTATCCCATGTTGCCCATGCACAAGATTGTACATTGCATATTCCTTTATACTTCAGTATTCGTTGACGTGTTGAACATCAGAAGCAAAACAAATTCACTGCAATTACCGATATTCAAAGCTCGATATGGTGTGAAATAAAACTCCCATTCCCATGCAATTAAAAAGTAATTTATATAACTTCAATAATTCAATGGTTTCAGATACAAAAGAATAGTTGCTACTGGGCGGATGTAAAAAGATTTGTTTAAAAAATGACGTTTTTCAGTTTTTGGTTAATTAATTGTTTGGTTACGGTTAATTATACTAATTTGGCATGATATCTATCTAATTGTGAGTGACAGAAAAATTTATTCTCTGGGATGCCAATTTGAGGCTTACGTGTAGAGAATGTTTAACTTATGAAACGTTTAAAAATTCCATAATATTGACGTTGCCGCAATGTACAGGGGTGCGCCACAGAAACTTACTTATTTGAAAAGTCAATAAAAACAAAAGTACTTCAGTTATTGTTTTAAATTTTTTTTTATTCGAGAAAACAGTATCACAAATTTTTTTTCATACAGTTTTGAAAATTAAATCTCATGAATGACGGCCTCCATTGTGCATAGCAACAAAATCGCGTTCAGTTAATTCTTGCACTACAGCAAATTTATTTGAGAAACTTTGAGAAACAAACTTGGGAACTTTCCCCTTCAGATGCACCCCCTCTCGCCCCTCTACCCGACCAACTAACCGCACAGGAATTTTTTCAAATAAGTAAGTTTCTGTGGCGCACCCTGTATTATTAACAAAAATCAATTGACGTGCGCACACGCTATCCACAATAATCATGCCATGCTCATGAGTTATTACAGATATAAATTTATACTATCACTATTTTTATCTAATTTTTTGCGAGATTATATGTAATCTCGCAGAAATTAAATGCCATTACAAAAAAAAAAATTATCGTGAAAGAGCGTATACAGACAGCTGCGTATAGAAAGCGCTAAAAAAGTTAGTGGAGTAACGGGAATAAAAAATAAGATACTATTGAACACATTTTTCGGTGATTAAAGACAACCCCAAATAACTTGATCCTAACAGGAACTCGAAAACACATTTTGATAGGCAAATAAAACTTTGAAATGCATTTTATTGTGTAGGAAGAACTCTAAAATTTAGCCAGCACTTGGCTAGCGTAACGACTCAGCCGTTATGGATAGTCTCCATGTAGTTGACTGCTGCCGTCATGAGGCGACCGCTCGTTTAGCTAATACCCGTCACTTTGACACCGGCTTTAGTTTATGAAGTACTTCTCTTTTCCGTAAAGTATGCATAATTGATTTATGGAATAGTATTTTGATAGAAGACTTGTATACGTTTTTGGCATATTATTCAATCACTAAAGGTCAAATTTCATCCGGGATAACACTCATTCTTATCTTAGTAATTTAAGAGCATCGACTCTTTTAATGAAAATCTAGAAAATTTATTCAGAAGACCTTGTATAAAATCATTTTTATATGATTTCCCAAGAATCTGATCTGCTATCGAACTTTCAGGGAGGTGCGGCCGCTAGGCGTTCGCTCCGGCCGCACCTTGAGAAATAGAGTTTAGTCCCTCAGGCCGCGCGGCCCGGAATACAAACAAAATCAAAAGAGCTTCCTTTGAGGTCTACGAGCCAAGTTTAGCTGCGTTACGGTCCACATGACGAATCAGTCCGAGGGCTGCCGTAAATTTGAATCGTCTCTTCCATTCCTGGCTAGGCAGGGCCTTGCCAAGAAAGAAAAGCCACTTGCCAAGAAGTTCTTCGTACGTCTACGAAGTAATTAAAATTCTAGTGGAAATAGGGCAAATTGAACAAATCATAACATGAAATTTACCTGCAGAACCCAAATTTAATACAAGATTCGAGGCGAACTATTCACTTTCAAATGGTTGTTCATTAGATTGACCAAAATTTAGGAACGAGAGAGACAAAGAAAAAGAGAGACATACAAATTTCATAATCACCTCTGGATATGTTTTACAACATGAAATTATTTTCCTAATCATCCCGCATATTATTCACTAATATTTCTCTATATTATATTATATATTCTGTATATTATATATTTTTAAGAAAAGACGAGTGTGCTGACCTAACTTAGGTGGCCCATAATTCTCGCTTTCGAGTAAGCTTCCATATCACCGTGGATGGAGCGGAGACTGCGACAGAACGACAGCCGTCCTCACCTGCATCACAACGAGACAAGATGCCGGGCCGCACACGCGCTTGTTCACGGGTAGAACATGTACTGCCGTGCAACTGTGGCCGACAATATCCTTGTCTGTTCCCGTGTTGAACATGTTCCACGAGAGAACCGTGGCCGACAATACACCTGTTTTTTTAACGCGTTGAACATGTTCCACGAGAGAACCGTGGCCAACAATACACCTGTTTTTTTTTAACGCGTTGAACATGTTCCACGAGAGAAAAGTGGCCGACAATACACCTGTTTTTTAACGCGTTGAACATGTTCCACGAGAGAACCGTGGACGACAATACACCTGTTTTTTAACGCGTTGAACATGTTCCACGAGAGAACCGTGGACGACAATAAACCTGTCGGTTCCCGTGTTGAACATGTCCTACGAGAGAACAGTGGCTGACAATAAGAGTGAGTGTTCCCGTGTTGAACATGTTCTGCGAGAGAACCAAGCCGACAATACACCTGTTTTTTTACGTTCTGAACATGCTTCGAGGGAAAATCATGGCCGAAAACTTGCTTTTGATCACGAGTTACCTATAGGCGCGAAGATGAATGTATGTTTGAAACAATTTGCGTTCGTTTATAGGTCTAATAACTATAGCAGATACTGTTGGTTAAGAGAGCATTAATGTCTGATTAACACGTGATGTTAACATTGTTTAACGTTATTTATACAACATTCTCCTGCTTTTGTATTTAACACACGTGGCATGGCCTGCACACGCAAATATGCGTGTACTAGATATACACTCGAAGATCAACTTGAGAACGCAAACGGTTTTTGTTTTGCACTTTTCTTATAATACAATATGATCGCTCGTATGTGACCATCATACATTTTAAAGAGAAATTTCTTCAAATGACATTTATAGAACTCTTTAATTTCACGAATATACCACCAGTTTGTCAAACAACGTTTTTATTTTTGTTCCGTTTAACATATTGTTCGGTACTGATACTCTGCATGCTGTAAATATTTCTGTTTCCCCTGCCTGGCCTGGCCGGTGGCTGAGGGTCGAAGCTGCCTGCCGTCCTCGGGGACATCAGTTGACCTGCAGCGGCTGGAGGGTTAGCACGTCTTGCCGTCACCAACGACCGCTCTGGAGCTCCGAGTAGATACAGGCACTGTTATCATTACTTTTCTAGAAGAAGATAAGTTTTATTATTGCTGAATAACTAAGAAATTACTTCTATAAATAATATGTTAGGAAAATGGCGCTGTATTCACGGTTAATTAGCTGTATGAACGCTTCATTATTATTTAGCAAGAATATCGTTGATATTTTAGGGATCACTAGGCTAGTAAATTAGTACTTTTTCTTACTAATATCCGTTTAGAAGATTAATTTTGTAACAAATATTCGTCCATTGGAGCACATTTATGGCCAATAATTGACTAATGGAGTACTTTTGTCTTTAAAATCACGCGTGAGAAGCTCTTGTATCGCGAATTTCAACATAGGTTATTTCTCACTGATATTTGACTTCATGAGTACTACTATCACTTATAGCCGTCTAAAAATATATTTTATCATTATTATTCTACACATGTGGCCCTTCATCACGAATATAAGGCTAATGAAGCCTAGTCATCATTCAATATTCGGCTATATCAACGTCGAGGGCGCTGTACCTATGAGGAACTTCAGTACAAATTCCTCTGCCATTTTTTCAATTTTATGACCGAATAATTGATTTTCCAATGGTATGGAAAAAATGCATCCTACATTATTTTCTTACAGCGTTTGCGTATAAAATTTATGGGATATAATTAATTCAGGCCGGTAGACATTAGTTTTGATTGAACAGATCGATGTGCATCTTTCACTGCTGTTGGTGCTTCGTTGCTGTTGGTGGTGTGCTGGTGTTGGTGATGCGCTGCTGTTGGTGATGCGCTGCTGTTGGTGATGCGCTGCTGTTGGTGATGAGCTGCTGTTGGTGATGCGCTGCTGTTGGTGCTCCGTTGCTGTTGGTGATGCGCTGCTGTTGGTGGTGCGCTGTTGTTGGTGATGCGCTGCTGTTGGTGATGTTCTGCTGTTGGTGACGCATCGTTGTTAATGATGTCGGCGACAACAACACCCGAGTTCGTTTCATCTTCGCTCTCGTCTCTCGCTCTTCACATCGAGTCGGTGTCGAAATTTCCGCCTTACGAGCATGGCCTAAATCAATAGGCTCAAAATAATTAATTTTCCAGCAAACTTTTAAATTTTGTCCATAGTTGATACTCATTTTTTTTATCTTTGGTTCATTGGGATACTCATTAGATTAATAAATGTTTAAATGATTCACTTTTTGAACATTGCTAGCGATGAAAATAAACGAAGATTTTTGAATACTAAAAAGCTTTTTGTTCGACACAAGAGTTGGATTGAAAGTTAACAATGCGGGGGGAGTTTTCCAAAAAATTGTATTTATTATCATATCGTATTAGAAAAATACATAGAGTGTTTTGATAATATGCCTTTATTTGTTGTGGTGCTAATGTGCTTAGGTTTAGGCTAGTGATGGAGATGAAATAGCGAGTTCTCTTAATAAATATTTTCCCCATCTCTTGCTTTTTAAAAGATACTGCTGTTTATCTAGAAGCCATTTTTAACGTCTTTTACTGAATTTTCAGTTCTTTTACTTTTCTAGAAGCAATTCTTGACGTATTGACTTCATTGATTAAAAACTTTACAACCGAGGATCTTAACACATGTTTCAGCCAGCATGAACGACCTACAAATGGCCGCTCTCTTCTCCATGCTGACTCTGCTTGCAAGCGCAAGTTTTTCAGGTAGGCCTCATGTTTTTTATTTTATGAGTGTGTCCCAATAATATAAACATGAAAAAAATATGAGCTTAGTGTATGCAGAGTGCATGACTGCAGTAAACCTTTACTGCTCATTTGGATGAATTCCTATTGACATCAACAAAAGCATTTGTCTCCACTTTATTCAATGCAAATTATTGACCCATTTTTAATTAATTAGGATATATTTTTATTGATACGCGTTATTTGATTATTCCATGTAATTTCTAATACTGTGAGCAGTTTCCATGCTTGCGTTGATACGAATCGTTGATACGAATGTAAAAATCCTTGCACTATGCGAGTATGAACTACAAATTCCTTCTGAGATCGACGCTTTTATATAAATCCTTCCGTGTACAACACATATATAGATGTACACTGCTGTTTGTGCACGACAAATTATATGCAGTATTGTAATACGGTTCGCTGAGTCCCTGATATTGCTCCTCCGAATCACTTTGTTCCCGGATATTGGTATCGAACTTGAAGGCTTTGACATACATGGATGTCGGCTTAGAGGACATTAATGAAACCAAGTTCTACTGAATAGATCGTTACTCGTGTTAAATATTCATTTAAATGTAAATGCATATAGCGCATATCGATGACATTTTCATTGCTTAATACATTTGTAAACTAAATTGGCTACTAGTAGAAAATTTGCGCACACGCTGATATTAAATGAGAAGTAGAAATTTAATCGACGATGATTGGTTCGCTCAGGCATTTAATTTGTGTTGTAAGGTGGTTCAAATGCCACGGATACAAGAATATTGCCACGCAATTAATTAATATCCTGTAAATTTATTCATAAATCAATGATCATCCATAGGTTAAATAAACGCTGAAAAATATTCCAAGGCATATGCAATATCAGGAAGTGCACAATCGATTGATTTTGATATCTGCCATTTTCACTTACGAAAATCTTGTTGAAACCGTTGCCAAATATTAAAATAATATGTGTTTAAAAATTACTTTTTAAAGACAACACTTCTGAACAATCCAGTCTCTTGGATGTTACACATGTACGATGAATTTCTAATTTTATTTTCAAATATTGAAAAGAAAAATTATTTCTAAATTTTTTTTAAGATAGCAAAATTTTGTAAATTTTCAAAATTATTTATTCTGTCAATTGATTCATGCATTGTCTCTGACTTTGCAATTGTGCAAAATTTCAGATCAATTGGACAGGTCAAATTGTGTCATATATGGATTATGATTTGTAGCAGACGAAATTATTTTTTAATTTTTTTTATTAATGAAATTTTTTTTAATTTATAAAATTATTTATTCTGTCAATTGAATCATGCATTGTTTCCAACTTTACGCAAGTGTGCCAAAATTAAGATCGATTGGACAGGTAGAAGTGTGTTAAATATCGATTATAAGATTTGTAGCAGACAGACAGACAAACAAACAAGAAGTGAAGTTGAAGAGAAGTCTTGTAAGAAAGTTACTGAGCTTATTACTATAATCTTAAACTGAACACAAACCATTTCCTCTAGTTAATGCGATCAAACGATAGGAGACTTAAATGTATTATACCCTGGAATAAATAAAAAAATTGCATGGCATTTTACTACAGTCTTTGTCTGAACACAAGCAATTTCTACTTGTGAACACTATCAAACTTTAGGAGACTTATATATATTATACCTTTGAATATAAAAAAGTTACTGAGCTTATTACTATAATCTTAAACTGAACACAAGCGATATCTTCTAGCTAACGCGATCAAACGATAGGAGACTTAAATATATTATTCTCTAGAATAAATTAAAATCTACCGGGCATATTACTATAGTCTTGAACTGAACACAAGCAATTTCTACTTGTGAACACGATCAAACGATAGGAGATTTAGATATATTATACCTTAGAATATAAAAAAGTTACTGAGCTTATTACTATAATCTTGAACTGAACACAAACGAATCCTTCTTATTAACGCGATCAAACGATAGGAGACTTAAATATATTATACCCTAAAATAACTAAAAATTTACTGGGCATATTACTATAGTCTTTGACTGAACACAAGCAATTTCTGCTTTTGAACACGATCAAATGTTAGGAGACTTAAATAAATTATGCATTACAATATAAAAAAGTTACTGAGCTTATTACTATAATCTTAAACTGAACACAAGCGATATCTTCTAGTTAACGCGATCCATTGATAGCAGACTTAAATATTTATACCCTAGAATAAATAAAAAATTACTGGGCATATCTCTATAGTCTTGAACTGAACACAAGCAATTTCTGCTTGTGAACACGATCAAACGATAGCAGACTTGAATATATTATACCTTAGAATACAAAATAATATGCGTTAAATATTTACTTTTTAACGACAACACTTCTAAACAATCCAGTGTCTTGTATGTTAGTGTTACACATGTCCAATGAATTTCTAATTTTATTTTCGAATATTGAAAAAAAATTATTTTCAAATTTTTTTAAGGCATCAAAAGTTTGTAAATTTCAAAATTATTTATTCTGTCAATTGATTCATGCATTGTCTCTGACTTTATGCAATTATGCAAAATTTCAGATCAATTGGACAGGTCAAATGGTGTCATATATGGATTATAAGATTTGTAGCAGACGAAATTATTTTTTAATTTATACAATTATCAATTTACAGAATAAATTGATTCATGTATTGTCTCCAACTTTACGCAAGTGTGCAAAATTTCAGATCGATGGGACAGGTAGAAGTGTGTTAAATATCGATTATAAGATTTGTAGCATACAGACAGACAGACAAACAAACAAGAAGTGAAGTTAAAGAGAAGTCTTGTAAAAATAGATAGAATTCCCAATGACTTAAAGGAAATTTTGAGCATATTTTCACATATTCACAGACGTAACATTCCATGCGTTTGTTGTGCGCAGAAATAATTTCGTATTCGTCGCAGTGGCGGCACGAATGGCGTCCAAAACTTTTTTGTCGACTCAGCGGCACAATTTCTGTTTTCGACGGAAGGAACTTGGCTACGGGAAGTTCGGTTCTATCTTTGGTCATAAGAAAGCGATGCGGTTTCAATCCACAATCTAACGGCCAACGGTGACTGGATTCATCATGTGCCGGCACTTTGCCTTTGCTTTGTCCATGCCTATAGCATCCCACGATGCGCTTAACATTATTATTTTGGTACACATTACCAAATCTAACACTATTTTTTCGTGATATAATCATCAAGAAGAAACTGCAAAGTCGGGCGGAAAATTTCGTTGTCTATGGCACTTTGTCACCCACAATACAAAGTGCGAGTTACGAAACAATGCCTACCTCGACTCTACTAACATAACATATTGATCTCGGCGCTGAAGTGTAGGCCTGATGTGGCCTGTCGCCGATTGCTAATATCATATACGACGTCCTTGAGACTATGAATTATTCAGATGCTAGTCAGAACGTATTCGTGAAAAATACGACTGGTTAATTATGGGAGTACGTTATCAGTACTTGTGATAGGTTGCGAATTTAGAAGAGACGGACCTCGTTGAACGTCGAAAATGCACACAATTGTTTGAAGCTCACGTTCAAAGTTTCCGAGGTCCACGCCCATTATAAGTTATCCACCCACTTCATCATCGTGTCAAACTACGAAACACGACAATGACGGCCAATATTGGAATGGGTTGCGTAAACATCCTTGTATAATAACGGCAACACGGTTAAATAACCAAGTTGTATTCACAAAATACACTATGCTCCAATGACCGCGTCTCCTTGGCTGCTGTAATGGCGTCTCTTGACCAGCAGAATCTATCAATCTTTACACCCCAAGGTTATATCTCCGTGACCTGGTGAACCCTTCAAATAATCCATAGTTCCATTCCATAACTTGTATCTAATTGAAGACAACCGTACATTCTAACGCTGAATTTGGCTTGATTCTGTTGAAGCAGTGAATTTTATTGAAGCCGGCATTGCAAATGATGTTAAGCGGGCAAAACAAACTAAACTGTCACGTTATCCATTTGACACTTTTCGAATACATTTTAGTTATCAAACTGAGTATAGCTTTCAAGAGTTTGACTTACGTATACTAAAGCTTAATCTATATTTTCCTACAAAAATCAACGCCATAGCCGACTTTTTAGCGCATTTTCTCATTTATGGAAAAAATGCACTATTGTGCTCGCCATGTCCGTCTGTCTGTCCGTCCGTCCGTCCGTCCGTCCGTCTGTCTGTCCATCCGTCCATCCGTCCGTCTGTCTCTCCGTCCGTGACTTCAAGTTTTCGTCGACGAGAAAATGCGCTCTCTGTCACTCACTGCAGTGAGTACTGAGTTATATTTTTTTTACTTCTCTTGCTAGAAACTCGCCCTGATGAAATCCCGGACCGACCCCACGCCCCCTCCGCGCCCGTGAGCCCCGACGTAACCACGGGACGCCCGCTCCCCCCGACGCCGAGCTTCTCCCACCCGCCCCACAACCTGACGGTGGGGGAGGGGGACGAGGCCACCCTCCTCTGTGGGGTGTCGGCGCTGCAGGGCCACAAGGTGCACCAGCGCAGCTTGTGTTCCCCAAATCCGCATTTTATTTATTATATACAAATCCGCGTTTTATTTTATATATAAGATATTACGCCAAGTTGCATTTCCATTCAAGAAATATAATATCGTTAATATCGTTAAAGCGCTTAGGACTGTTTCAAATAAAATAAAAATTAGGACAACAAATCAGATACCAACACAGAAAAGTTTAATAATTAAGTTTGCTGCTTTTGGTTAATACGGTAAATGAGGAAAGAACCATAATATTAAAATCAACAAAATTTTTTTTTATAATTTTGGTTCAATTTGAACTAGGCCTGTTATTGAACTGGATTCGATCAGACTTGAAATATTACCCCTTCAAAATTTGTCAAGCGAATGACGAAAGCCTCGAGAAAGTAATATTCATCTTAATTTACATATAACTTAGCACGACGATATCTGCTTAAACTATAATCATAGATATGGTAATATCATATCGTATGATGATGAATTCAACTTTAAATTAACACGACTCTTCTTGCTTCTGTCATAATCATAAATATGGTAATATCATATCGTATGACGATAAAATTATCCTCTAAATTAACATGACTATACTTGCTTCCTTCATAATTATAAATATGGTAACATCATATCGTACTACGATAAAATTATCCTCTGAATTAACATGACTTTACCTGTTTCCAACATAATCAGAAATATCGTAATATCAAATAGTTTGTTAATAAAATTATCCCCTAAATTAACCTGACCACACCTCTTTCCGTCATTATCACATATATGGTACTATGTTATCGACTTATCGTATCACGATAAAATTCCCCTCTAAATAAACACGATTATCCATGCTTCCATCATAATGATAAATATGGTAATATCTCATCGTATGACGATAAAACTCCCCGTTAAATTATGAATATATATGCATCCGTCATAATCATAAACATGTTGAATATTCGCCTGGATGAAGATGGCGTGGGTACATGAAGACTCGCAAAGTATCCTGACGGTGGGGAGCCTCGTGTACACGCAGAGCCCGCGCCTCTCGCTGGTCACGGACCTGGAGCGGTCCGCCCTCACCCTGGACCCCGTGACGGCTGCTGACCGCGGCTGGTACATGTGTCAGGTCAACACCGACCCTATGATCTCTGCCAGGGCCTTCCTGCAGGTCCTCGGTCAGTAATGTTGTTATAATTAGCAATGTTGCTGTATATTATGTGGTTACTTGGTACTGTTACTGTACGCAAGTGTATATGGCAACTTGGGACGGTTACTGACTTACTGTACGCAAGTGTATATGGCAACTTGGTACGGTTACTGACTTACTGTACAGAAGTGTACATGGTGACTTGGTACTGTTACTGTACACAAGTGTGTATGGTGACGGTACTGTTACTGTACACAAGTGTGTTTGGTGACGGTACTGTTACTGTACACAAGTGCGTATGGTAACTTGGTACTGTTAATGTACACAAGTGTGTATGGTGACGGTACTGTTACTGTACACAAGTGCGTATGGTAACTTGGTACTGTTACTGTACAGAAGTGTGTATGGTAACTTGGTACTGTTAATGTACACAAGTGTGTATGGTGACGGTATTGTTACTGTACACAAGTGCGTATGGTAACTTGGTACTGTTACTGTACAGAAGTGTGTATGGTAACTTGGTACGTTACTGTACAGAAGGGTACATGGTAATTTGGTATTATTAGTATACATAGTGACAATTTGTTGTGACTCTATACAGTGGCCTGGCTGGTATTATCTGATGAAACATTTTAGTTATTATCGGAGCATGGATACGGGAAATTAGTTCATGTACCGCCGAAAGTCACCAGGAAAGTTTAATTTTTTTTGGATATACACTCTCATCGTAGCCTTCACATGTTTTATGAATAATGCGCTCTGTGTTGCTGTGCAGTGCAGCCAACGATCGTGAACTGGTCGGGGCCTGCGGTCGACGCACGGGAAGGTGAGGGAAAAATAATTGATTCTTCAGCTATCCGGTTTAATGTAACCAAACTCGGCCAGAATACATGAAAAACAGTTAAGTAGTCGTTCTCCAATTAGTTCTTAAAAACATTTTGTGTCTTTGTACGAATACAATAAGTTTAAGTGAATCCATATCAATGCAGAGGTTATCATTAGAACATTTAAAATAGTTTAAGGTTGACCTTCTCCATAACCCAGATCGAAACTGGCATTAATTTTCCAATTGTCCGATAACCACAATGATTGCGCATTGTCAATTCCCTCAGTCCGCGTATTAAGATAATCACTTTTATGTAAAAAATCGTCGATTCCTTCAATTATACCTGGCATGCATCAGACGCGGAGTAATTTACTAGAAAATGAATGGGAAAATTTTCCAAATGGCGACCCACTTTTTTATCCACTGCAGGACAAGAGCGCGGATGTTGAACTGATGCAGGCCAGACTGGGTCAGTGTGACCCACATTAGAAACATGAGGAATGATCCACATAATGTGGAGTTTGAATTCTTGAACATTACCTGCCGTCTGCTAGCGTGTATGCAATTAGACACTTAAATTCATAAAATTTTTAATTTTCGTAGAAAATTTCGGAACTGCCCGAGATTGGCTGAGGTTGCAATGAATGCTGCACAGAGTAGCGGTGGATTACTGTAAGTCATTCACTAGTACTGGGCCCTTTATTCTGGGAAAGTATAAGTTTCTTCCAGATATGCCTCAGCTTAGATACAATTAGAAATGTAACACACCAAAAATTAATTTGTTTAAAAATTGCACCAAAACTTCACGCTTTAGTAGCAGCTATATTTAAATCGCAGTATCACATCAGGTTTTTTTATCGCACCAAACGTGCCTTGGAACAGCCATGACTATGATTGCATTTTGTCTCATATCATAATTAATTAAAGTACATAACAATTACCTGCAGTTTTGATAATCCATAATTGTAGATTCAAATACTCTGCATTCTCTTTCACCCCTTAACTCTTTGAACGCAATACGAATTTGATTTTTACAATTTTTAAATTATCCTTTCTCTTGCTTCATGCTGCCGCAGGGACGGCCGTGAACTTGACGTGCGAGGTGAGGTCCCATCCTCCGGCCACCGTCACGTGGACGCGTCCCGACCTCCTGCCCATCGTCCCCGCGTCCCTGGGTGGACCAGGTGCACTAACTTCCCTTTTGTTTTGAGTTTTACTGTGCAGTATATGGCACCTCCCGTCCTTATTGGGAATAGGTGCACTAACTTCCCTTTTGTTTTGAGTTTTAATATAATGGCATCTACAGCCCAACGTCCTCCTGTCCCTATTGGGACCCGGGGTACTAACCTCCCTTTTGGTTCTCTGTATTCAAGCATATTGAATATTTACTGAATGTGTTTTGATGCAAAGGGCATTCTTCCCATGATTAGGATTTACTAAGTTTGAAATACATTTGACGCTATTTCCTCTGTATTTTAATAAATCTGAGTTGCATATTATTTGACTTTTTTAATAACTTTTTGATCATGATTACAATTTATTGTAAAGCTCCAACTGACGAAATTAGTCTGTGATAAAAAGAATAAAGAACATGCGATGTAACGGATTTGAATTTCAACTCAGTTTCAACCAAAAATATTATTCACAAATACATTGCCTTTCTCGTATAATTTTTTATAAAATATATCTTGCGCAGTTTGGTCAGTGGAAGGCGCCCAGTTGGAGCTGCCCTCCGTAGGGCGCGAGCAGGCAGGGCCTTACCGCTGCTCCATCGACAACGGCATCACACAGCCTGTCGAACGCACCACCAATCTTAGCGTTAATTGTGAGATTTATATTAACTTTCTTCTATATAGTCACTGTCGATCTTGATTTTGAGTTTGATTCCAAAGACGTTTGATTTCAAAGACGTGCAACAAGGATAATTCTAGGCTTGAAGGGCAAGTCCTATGAAGAAAGATTGATGATTATGAAGCTTCCAAGCCTCAGTTATCGACGTCTGTGTGGGGACCTCATTGAAGTATACAAGTATACTCATGGTCTATACAAGGTCCCTGAAGGGTTACTAGAATTTGAAACAAGAACCAACACCAGGGGCCACGGCTATAAGCTAAAAAAATTGCGCTGCAACTTCTCCACGCGACAAAATTTCTTCTCGCTTCGAATCACCGACATGTGGAACAGCCTCCCCGATGACATCGTTGGCGCTCCAAGTATGAACGCGTTCAAGAACAGACTAGATAAAGCTATGGAAAAATATATGTTCAGATTTGAAATGCCTAGCTCCTTATCGAACCCGGTGGAAGTCTAGTAGCTACTTCAAACTATCGCCAGTCATGAAAAGATCCGGTCAAATGACACGAGTTTAGATCTATGAACAAGGCACGAAAAGGAAAAGAATCGGCGACAGGCCACATCAGGCCTACACTTCAGCGCCGACATCACTATGTTATGTTATGTTATAAAAATTTTCAGGATTCCTGTTCATAGAATTATTGTCCCTTTTGTGCAATTATTTATACAGAACTTAATTCACAGAATGCAGCGAAATTGAAGTAAAACGGCTTTGTGAGCTTGTTACTTACGCATGAATCATTATTAGTTATCCACGAATCATTAATCACTAAGATTTTAGATGATAATCACATTAATTTCTGAAATAAATCATTAAGTGTTGCGATTATAATTACGGGTATATTTAATATAAATCAGTACAAGTTGAGACGATAATCACAATAACCCCTGAAATGAATCATTAAGTGTTGAGATTATAATTATAGTTATTTTTAATATAAATCAGTACAAGTTGAGACGATAATCACATTAATCTCTGGAATGAATCACCAAGTGTTGAGATGATATCACATGTATCTCTAACATTAATCACCAAAGAGTGGAGATGCTAATCACATTTATATTGTGGCCAATTTTTAACCCCGACTGCCCAAGACTCGCCGATGCTGTGGCTGGAGCGCGAGATGGTGGGCGGCGCAGCGGGCGACGACGCGACGCTCGAGTGCACAGTCGAGGCGCACCCGCTCCCTGACGTGGTCTGGAAGAGCGGCAGTCACTCCCTCCCCCATGGTGACTACTATAATCAGGATAATTCTATCCAATGTGATAATCAGGATAATTCTGTCCAATGATAATCAGGATAGTCAGGATAATTCTGCCCAATGATAACCAGGGTAATTCTCTTCAATGATAATCAGGATAGCCTGGATAATTCTCTCCAATGATAATCAGGATAGCCAGGATAATTCTCTCCAATGATAATCAGGATAGTCAGGATAACTTTCTCCAACTTACTACAATGGCAAGCAGGATAGTCAGGATCATCCTCTTCCACGGTAATCAGGATTGTAAGGATAACTCTTTTCAATGATTACCGCTATAGTCAGGATAACAGTCCCCCAACGTAACCCGAATAGTCAGAAAACAGTTTACAGTGGATTCCGGGATAGTCACAATTATTGTAAGTACTGGTAACCAGGATCCCTCCACCCCACCCCTACAGACTTGAAGAGCACTTAACTGCCGAGCGCGTGTCAATCATTTGCCAATCACCGTCCGCTGCCAATCACGGTCCGCTGCCAATCACGGTCCGTTGCCAATCACGGTCCGCAGCCAATCACGGTCCGCTGCCAATCACGGTCCGCTGCCAATCACGGCCCGTTGCCAATCACGGTCCGCTGCCAATCACGGTCCGCTGCCAATCACGGTCCGTTGCCAATCACGGTCCGCTGCCAATCACGGTCCGCTGCCAATCACGGCCCGTTGTCGATCACGGCCCATTGCCAATCACGGCATGTTCATTCTCATCTTCATTCCGTTCACGGAACATCTTCACTCCAGTTCATTTTGTATCACTAGCCATGCCAGACACACTATCACGTCTCGGTCAAAATATCTTTTGCCTCGAGTGTGGCTGGACATTGCCTAGCATGTCAGTTGCATTGCACGTATGGTGTGAATGATTCCATATAAATAAATTGAAGAATATTATGAAGAAAGATTAAAGATTATAAAGCTTCCAAACCTCTGTTATCGACGTCTGCGTGGGGACCTCATTGAAGTATGCAAGTACAGTATACTCATGGCTTATACAAGGTCCCCGAAGGATTACTAGAATTTGAAACAAGAACCAACGCCATGGGACCACGTCTATAAACTAAAAATATAACTCAGTACTCACTGCAGTGAGTGACAAAGAGCTCATTTTCTCGTCGACGAAAACTCGAGGTCACGGACGGACGGACAGACAGACAGACGGACATGGCGAGCACAATAGTGCATTTTTTCCATAAATGAGAAAATGCGCTAAAAATGCGTTGTAACACTTCCAAGCGACAACATTTCTTCTCGCTTCGATTCACCGACGTGTGGAACAGCCTCCTTGTCATTGACGCTTCGAGTATGAACGCATTCAAGAGCAGAGTAGAGGAAGCGATGCAGGAGCATATGTTCAGTCTTAAAATGCCTAGCACCTTACGAGCCTTGCAATAAGTCTAGCAGCTATCTCAATCAATCGTCAGTTATGGAAAGATCGGGTTCAATAGGCCAGATCCCTTGTAGAATCAAGTCACGAAAAGTACAAGAATCGGTAACAGGCCATGGGCCTATTTCTTCAGTGCCGACACTTCTATTCTATACACTCTACTGTTGCGTTCTAGCAAAGATCAACGCCACAGAAAACATGCGAGCTGCACCTTTTTCCCACTTCAAAGAATGAGTAGTTCATGTTTTCAAGGGCGCACAGTCAAATTCCTGCCCAAAGTGCCGCAAAAGAATACGAGAACGTTTCTCAGCCTCATTAGTATTATCGGTAAGGTTTACGGAAATGTTAAGAAACGATTTTCTTTTGTTACTGGTGATTCGGGTGCATAGAAACGCAGTTCAATCTTCCTCCTAAAAAACATCGCAAACGTCTATGCGGTGCCCATTTAAGTAATCATTGTGATATTTTAAGTGCCTTGGATCGATTCGGTGCTAAGGTTCCAATGATAAATTCCATGTTAGCCACCACCATCTTTTTTCGACACACATTCGTTCTCGTTGACGCAGGACTGAAACAAAATTAATATACATTGCAAACAAGACCACCTAATCACTTCTGTGATCGTACGTGACAATTCAATAAGAACGTCAATCGTTAAAAGATCATTTCCCATTCCAGATGGAGCCAAGTATTTAATCAGGAACGTGACAGTGACGACGGGGAAGCAATACAGCCATCGGCAGCGTCTGACACTTACAATATTGAGGCTGGCCCCGCTAGATTTCGGCCTCTACAGCTGCATAGCGGAGAACAGCCTCGGTAGAGCCGAAGCCACCATTGCACTCTACGGTCAGTTGTGGATTCTTTGAACTGATTTCTATTGCAAGGAAATTACAAATTGTAATCAGTCATTTTCGTTATTCCTCGAGGTCACTCTGTGTAAATGTCAAGTGTTGAACTGGGCACAAACTTCTTCGACAACATATATTTTCATGGCATCGAAATACACAGTGAAGAGGCCAAAATAATATAAAGCTTACTTATTCTTTCACAGGAACATATGAAATAAGTACCGGCAATCATTAAAACGGTTATTGATTTCGATTACGCTGTTGATGAAATTACCGTGTTCTGTTGATACTTTTCAGAGATGCGGGAACAAATTATCAAAGGAGCTCCTCATCTACAAGACAGGAAAAGTAGCAACCCTGATTTAGGTAACTACCTTCTCTTAAAGATGAATTGTAGTATTCAAAGATGAATGTAGTATAAAGATGAATTGTAGTATTCAAATTTGAAAAAAAAGACATGATAGAATTATCTAGCAAGACTCGCGTTTCTCGGAGCGCTTCTTGCTTGTCAATAAAAAGACGCAATTAAAATGAATTCAGATCTATTGTAAATGAAGTCACGAAAATCACAGGAATCGGTGACAGGCCGATTCTTCAGCGTCGACGCTAATATACTACACGACAAAACCTCCTCCCACAGCAAGGCCAAGAACGACTCCAGCACCCTCTGTAAGCGGCACAACGCGCAGCCTTAACAAGCACAGTTGGTTCGACTCAACCGACATCATTCAAAGGCCTCCAAAGGGAAGCTCTGTCGATGGCTCAGCTGACATTGCCACGGCTTTGTTCGACGTCTGGCTCGAGCAGGATCTGTCGGGCTCGAAGCATCAGCAGACCGGCTGGTGTCTTACTATCATCTTGTCACTAGCACTGCAGATCGTATTAGCCGGACGTTTCGAATACTACCTCACATAGATAACGTGTCTTGTACTTTATTTTATACCTCTTATTGATTTTTTATTTGCGATCCCTGACAATCCACGGTTTCGTATTTACCTCGATTCCGTTCTGCTTCACCATCTTAAAAGTGCTCGTTACGCTGTAACTCTTATCACTTGACCGACAGTGTTCTCCTCCATCTTTCAACGTGTTATGCTGTAACTATTATCACTTGATTTATCGTGTTCTTCATCTTAAACGTCTATAACGCTGAACTCTTTAGAACTTGATCCATTGTGCCCAACGTTATTCGCTAAAAATTGCCCCTTTCATATGTGTTAAAATAATCCAAAAATATAAAATAGTGATACTATTTATTGAATATTACAGCAAGTTTGGATTCATTACATTGCATTACAATCCGATCATTAAGATTGCGAAGTAAAATACTAAGGTCATTCAGAGCTCTATCTTTCCATTTGTTTCATATTCAGAACGCACGATCCATTTACTAGTATCCTGATTGTAACATTAGAACTTTATGTCGCGACTTTCTAAAACAGTTTAATCGTAACCCGAGTAGCATAGGTAGAGTGAGATATTATTATTATGTAGTTGAGGATTAATAATCAATATTATGAAACTTAAACTATACAAAACGTCCTAAACGAGACACAAAATGGAATTGCCATTTTTCTACATGATAAATCAAAATAATCACAAGTGAATTAAATTAAAGGATATTGTAATATAATGAACAGATATTAAATTACTAATTAACGTCATGGAAAATTTGATTATTGAAAACCACAGGAATTTCACAAAATATTCTGATATGACGTATCTAAGGTGACTTGAAAATCTGGATACAAAGAATATTCAAAATATGACAAACACGCTTACAATTTTCACGGTATAAAAATATTCAGAAAATTCTTGCCTGGACGCTGATGAGTATTTTCAGAAGGCGTTTATTCGCATACGCCTGCACATCCTAGTCCCTGAAGATCAATTCACATCTCCTATTGCTCAATAATTTTCTATTTAATCACTATGTAATTAATGAGCAATACAAATTCAAGAACCCGATTTTGTACTATAAATCCCAAAAGTTGTCAAGTAAAACGCAGTCAAATGTGAGCCTAGATTCATTGGACGTCTCACATCGTCACCGACAAATATTTCATTCTTAAACATGTCAGACTCGTGCCATTTAATAGCGTTTGATTCATGACCGCACTAGTTAGCGCAAAGAAAATTAACGATTATTTCAATAAAAATTCTCCTCATAGCCATGAGGATTTAAAATCATTTATCCCCATTCACCAATAGATTTGAAGAGGGAATCATCAAATTCATTAATTAAATATCAAATTAGATCAACTACGCCAGGATAAGCATCATAACTGAATGTCATCAGTCATCGTCTGAGCCTGAGCTGGAGTCAGAATATTGACCTAACAATGTGAGGCTGCTGCACTTGTTCTTATTAGAACTATCAGTAGCTAAACCAACGCCAGTATCTTGTTCTATTGAAACACCAGAGCTTGATGTCGGAAAATTATTAGAGTCTATTACAATGCCGCTGTCGTCAGGTCCATCAATATGTGCTGAATTGTCTGAAGATGAACTCGATTCCGCGGTAACGTTACTTTGCACAATGCGACGAAAGTGAGATGGGGGAGGCATTTTTAGTCTGTCGTTATCAGGAATATCGACTGATTTATTCCTTGACAAAAAGCCTCGGTTTTGTCCAATGTTTTGACTAGGCGGTTTTGTTGATGGAGTTTTCTTCTTGACCAAACCGCTCAATTTAGTTTTGAGTGAATTTTGTGACTTTTTCACATCCGAAGGGTTCCCGTTAGTAAGATAATCTGATCCTAAAGATCCTTCGGCCTTCATTTTCTTCGATGGTAATTCGTCTTTTAAGTCTTCCTCTTTGAGTCTCTTCACTAGTTTTCCTTCAATCATTTCGTATCCAAGTGCACTGAAGGCTTCCATTCGTTCCTGCTCGTCGATCTGTTCAGCCGTAAGTTCTCTTTCTTTCTGATACTTTCCAGCAACTGCACCCAAGTCAATACTGGCGTGCCTGTCGTTCTGATCTCTCAGGTCTTCCAATGTCTCCAAGAGATCCATTTCATACTGCGACTGTTGCGTTCTGTTCTCGAGAAGCAACATTGGGTTAGACTCTATTTCCTCCTGAGCCTCTTGTGCTTCTCTAGCGGCCTGCTCTTCTGCTAATTTCAGAGCCTGGAAATTTCTATGAGCTCCAGCCTCCAGCACATAATCCGTCGACTCGGGATCTGTCCTGAAGGAAATTTCTGATATGCATCCAGGACACCTGATATAGAACCTGTAAATTCTGATGCCTAAAAAATTCATGTTGTCAACGTCTTCTTTCCGAGCATTGAACTTTTTTCCTTTTGCAATATATTCGCCACACGTATAACATTTCATGTTGCAAGGGGCCATGAGACGGACAGTGAACTGGCGATTCTTCGATCCCTTTACTCTAGGGATCTTTGAAGGATCGAAGTCGGGTGGGTAATACTTATTCAGAACTTTTCTTTCAGACATTTTTCAAAGCTTCAAGATGAACTAATCTGTAACAAAAATACAACAATGTTAATTTTACATGAACAATAAGAACTAGCAATGATTTTCGCCAATAATAAATAATTGAATCACATCATCATCAGAATATGTTTGCTTCTTGAGAGGTCTCTTAAATTTATAGAACTATTGTTAGTTTATTCGAAGAGTATAATAATTAATGCATTCCTAACAAACTGTAGAAAACTTAACGAACTGCCAGGCAATTGGAGGCATTCAAATTGAAAACTTAACAGTGTGTTTGTTAATAAGAAGTTTTTCCAAGCTCAGCCACTGGATGCATGACAATCTGTCGGCTATACAGATTGTTCTTCTATTACTATTCTTTCATCAAAATCTGTCTGGAATATCTGGTACCTGACTAGAAAGTGATCAACATGCAAAGAAATTTTCTAGTTCAAACATTGTCAGAAATAGTAATCATGATCTGTTCAACTGACTTTCATGAGACATAAGAATTAATTTGAAATACATCTGCCAGTAAAATTCAGTAAGTTTGCACCAAGAGCAAGATGACTAAAGATATGATTTCATTGAAAGTTACACTAACTTATTTTCTGAAGAATTAAAAAAAATAATTTGCATGAAATTATAATTTTTCAACAAATTTCTTTGATGAATTAGGTAAACCAATTAGGTAAATTTTTGCATGATGGAAGTAGGTATAGATAACATCAAACAGGGTAATAAGGGACCGTTTTGTGAGATTTTGTTTATAACTTCTCACTATGAAACATTTCATAAACGAGTTTGGGCTCATTTCAAAGATCTTTGCAAGGGCTATAATCTATTCAGAGTAAATTCATAGATGAAATATTAACTCATCATATCTATGCTGGTGTAAGAAGTGTCATACAATTTTTCATATTCTGCAAAATGAAACATAAATGCAAAGTGAAATATAAATAAATAAAATGAAATAAAGTAAAGCTAATTTTATTAGCTAATTTGTTTCACAATTTGAAAGATTGAACAAACAATTATTGTCAGGAAAGACAATAATAATCTTAATTATTTTTCCCAGGAAAGAAGTAAAGGCCGTCAGCTAACAAAGCAACTATTGATTTAATTATTACAAGTTATTTACCGTAAACTGGGGTAGCTTTGACCACTTTTGGTTTTTTTAACAAAAACCCCCAAAACTCAAAAACCATTTGACATAGAAAAATTTTGTCAATGGGCATTAAAGACCTAATACTGAGGCTATGTAACACAATAGAAAGATTTAAAAAGTTTGCATATCTAATAGGTTAAAAAAATTAAAATGTGACCCACAAAAAAAAGCTATTTTTTAAAGCCTGTCAGAGTACCCCCTCCGATTTTTTTATTTTTTGGTAAAATAACTCCAGGTTTTGATGCATTGTAGTAGAACTCTTCTAGTTACATATGCAAAAGACAAATTTTAGTAAAGTGTCATAGTTTGCAAATGGGGGGTGCCACCCCCCAATGGGGTAACCTTGACCACCTAATGGCAGCTGTGATGGGGTAACATTGACCGGCTTGGAAATTATGTTAAAATTACCATAGGTACCTATATAACATATTTTATGTTTGATACACCTATTAATGTTTTTTTAAGCAATTTATGGTGAGTAAAGCTAGAGTATAGACCTGTATTTTGCACGTTTCAATTTAAGTTTAACTTATCTAGTAAAAAAATGGCATCATTTTGGAAAAAAATAAGTGGTCAAAGTTACCCCATTTTACGGTACATAATAGAAATATTGACACTTTTTTTCAAATAAATTTCACTAGGAAGCAGAGGCGTTGACCAATGAGTGAAATTATTATTATAAGGCCCTGATTGAGAACCGAGAGGCTTCAAACAGGCTCAGCTCTTCCCTATGCATTTCTTCCCAAATTAAAATAGACTACCTACTCCATTCATAAATGAGATGGCGATATGGATTTTCCCATGCTTACCCAGCTATTTATTTATAAACGCTGGACAGGAACAAAAAATATGTAAACTTTGTATGAAAAGAGTTTTAATGAGAGGAAATTTCAAGAAACTTTGAATATTATTGTTCATCAAGTCTGCAAATTTACCGTCAACCGGGGTAACTCGGGACTGGCGGGGTAATTCGGGACAGTCCTCCTATACGGCATAAAACTGTTATAGTAGCAAAACTAATTGGAATATTGCAAAACTAAAATCGACGGGGCAATTCGGGACACTCTTTTTTTGCTTCTGGCACCTTAGGAATAGCATATGGAATTTTTTTGACAATGCCATTCGATAGCCCTCGCAAAGAGCTATAAAATGAGCCTAAACTTGTTTATGAAATGTTTCATCGTAAGAAGTTATTAACAAAAAACGCTCAAAATTGTCCCGAATTACCCCGGTTGACGGTATACTTTTTTTCGAGATGTAAACAGGTTGTAATTTTTATTCCCCATTAAATGGTATACTCAGCATTCCTTGATCAGTCTCCTTGTTGTAAATATTATTTCTAAAAAAATAGTTATGATCAAGCCTACTGATACATGGAGGGAAAATCCTGCATACTAGCTGCTCAAATGGAGGCGTGGAAGGTATGAGGAAAAAGAGGCGTTCTAAATTACTCGACTGTCAGTTCACGACGGGCGGCATGGTGATGGCGAAATTGATGAGGGGCAAAGAATAATACGTGGCCAGTGGTCGGCCTAGTCCAATTAGTTATAGCCAACCCTTGGCCATTCCTCGGCCACCTGAAAGCGACCAGTTGCCGCGAGAAAGGGGCCGGCTAGGACATCACATTACAAAGAGTACAAGCTCGAGCGTAGCGACTGGCCGAGCTTTGGGCAGATCAAGGATTTTACATGATGGTCACGAAAATCTCGCTCTCAGACTTTGCTGCACTGTGCACTCTGACTACAAGTAAATTAGTAAGATTTGGTAAATTTAGTTCATGCTACCATTATCATGAAGTTGTACTTCCAAGTCAACACATAGCAATACACTCCAACTACAGAGCCAACTGAGTTGTATTATGGCACCAATAATGATGGTAATAACTAACTTGATGAGAAACATTCAGGAACAGAAAAAATTTACTTTCCTTTGCATTTCTTTATAATAAGGCAACCAAAATTTAAAATATTTTGCTGTAAGCCAAACTCTCTAGTATTAATGAGCAAAATTATACTTTGTGCCAAATCATTGCTTATATTTTGCCAAGAAGAAACAAATAAATGGAAGTTTCTCTGACAGCAAACTAATGTATCATCTATTCCATCAGAGAGCCACACCTATGTGACTATCACTGTCCTTATTTAATAAAAAATTGCAATTTAAAGTAGTAAAACTAGTTAAAAATACACCTCATTGGCATAGCTTGATCAAATTTCTGGAGGAAATATTAGGGTTTCTCATTAAAATCTAAGATGCATCAGCAAAATCACATTGCCAAAGAGATGCAAATCATGAATTATGTTTGGGTATGTTTATACTTTGTACCCAGGCATAGCAAGTGTTGAAAAGGAAAATTGCCAGAAAAAGCATGTCAGAGCAAACGTGATCAATTTATTTAGTAGAATAAAACTTAACTTATTAGCAACTTTAAAAACTTAAGAGTGTTGCTTCAAACATTGTGAAAATAACAGTTATCATCAAATGGGGGTAATAAGGGAAGGGCAGGGTAATAAGGGACAGTCCTTTGACATTTCATAGTAATGTTGTAGCAGCTAAACTAATAAAAATATTGCAAAACAAAAAATAGTGGCATAAAGTTCAAAAACTTTCCTATCTAAGTAGCATAAAGCAAGTTAAGAAATCATAAATTTACTACCTCTAAAAAAAGTGTGAAAAGTGAGATTTTGGAAAAGTACCTCTGCTAAGGTCTGTAGCAAAAAAATATATTCACCATATTAAAAATTTTTACGAACATAAAAGTTGCACACAGTCGTTGGCTTAAAAATGTGATCAACAGAATTAGCATATCTCATTCCAGAAAAATGGCGGCCATTTCCGCACGACAGGGTTATAAGGGACACCCCCTGGGGTAATAAGAGACACCCTTAAAAATGCATTCACAGTAGAGCCTTGGTTAGCAAAGGCTCCAGTTAACAAAAAAAATCAATTAACAACAAAGAATTTTGATTAAATTTACCTTGTTCAGCAAAAAAATTTCACGTGACAAAAAATTTGTGCATCATCGGTCATCGCCAAACTGTGCAGAGAATGTCATAGATAGAATTGTTCACCAGGCAACATATAATGAAGAGTAATTATCCTAAACTATGATTTTTTTTGAAAAATATGATGGTTGTCATTAAAATATTCCTTTGTGTTTCAGGCATGTTTTTTTTACAATTTTTTTTCTTTTTGTTATAGTGACTTGATTAAAATGGTGCAAAATTACAAGCCATCCTGTAAGCGTACCTACAGAAGAAATGCTACATGGCTGCTGATATGAAGCTTGCAGTGGACAAGGTTGTTGTCAATGCTCAATGACATGTCCATGGATTAGGTAATATCACAATAATACAGTAATGTATGGATAAGGTAGTATCATATCAATAAAAGAACAACAAGTAAAAATCACAGAAAATGTCAATTACTCTACATTTACATCATCTAAAAAGGAAATGGAGGACTTCAGAGCACTGCTAGTAATGGCCAAGCACACTCTGCATGCTTCAAACATTTTAAAATTTAGTTTTATTTCAAGTGTCCCTTATTACCCCATTCACAGAATTGGTTCAGGAGGCTTTTATTTTGCATCTGGCCTCTTACAAATAGCATATGGAATTTGTTCAGAGATGCCATATGATTTTTTTAGATGCCCTTGCAAATACATATAAAATGAGCTCAAACTTGTTTATGAAATGTTTAATGGTAAGAAGTTATTGAGGAAAAATGCTCAAAACTGTCCCTTATTACCCCATTTGACGGTAGAGCATGCACTACATGCAGCCACACAAACAGTCATAAAGAAAGGCAACCACACACTAGTCACCTGATAGATTTAAGTTTGTGTGTGATAAAGCTGCCATGTCATATTTTTACCATGAAAAGCACAGCTGCTTATCAACGCATTGGTT